ACCAGGACTGATCTGGACCCGGGAGTTTGATGCCATCTCTTATGTGCTTTACAAAGTTTGTTTGAAATATTATTGGGGTAATTATCCACTACTACACGAGTTGGGAGTGCTGTTTGTTCTGTTCAGTGGGTTAAATAACAACACTAAATTGTCACAGAGTATGATAGCACTGGTCACTTGAGTGGATCACTATTGCTGGTTGCAGTGCTCACAGATAGAGTGTTTTTCACACTTGGATTTGTTTATATATTTTATATATATATATGGGTGTATATGTTTAAGCACATATATATAGATATATACTTATATTTTATTTTTTTCACATGCACAATTTTAGTGTTTGATGTGACTCACTATATATGGCACGTTTTTTCTTTTGATATAAGGATATTACACTATTTTGAGTTTTTTTTGTTTTTGAGGTATATGAATATTTGGACATGACTTGAAGATTGAAAATAAGAGAGATATTTTCTTGGAAGAAAAAAGAGGAATATAGTTTTTTGGAATTGCACTTGTGGACATTTAGATAAGGAGGATATTTATTTATATTTTATTTTATTTATTTATTATTCTTTATTTTATTTATGATTACTTTTTTAATGTATTAATATAATTTGGGAAAGGAAAAAGACTTTATAATTTATAACAAAAATAACTAGATCAAGGTTTTTCAAGGATAATGTTAGGGTAAAAGGTCATAGGTCATGGTCAGTATGAGTAGATTTAAAAATAAAAAACATTTTTTAAATTGGTAGTGTCAGTGTGTTTTAGGGAGGATAAAAAATTAATAACAAAAATCGCTGAATTTCAAACCAAGCATCAGAATGGGGAAGCATCAGAAGGGGATTTAAGGGATAAGTTCACCTTTTGTAACATGTTACACCCAGATTCAGGGTGTAACATGTAATGATCAGAATGGCCCCCGCTCCCCCACATCCCATACAGGCAAGCAGATATACTGACAGATCTGCAGGAGACCTGCATGGCACCAGCGATCTACTGATCACTGGTGCAATGCTTTACAGGCTCCTACAGACAAAAATAACAGACGCACATTTCTTTACCTGCAAAAAAATGTGCATTTACTATTGTTTTACTAAAAGGTGAACTTATCCTTTAAGTGACTTTGAACATAGCATGGTGGTTGGTGCCAGACGGGCTGGTCTGAGTATTTAAAAAACTGCTGATCTACTAGGTTTTTCACACATAACCAACTCTAGGGTTTACAGAGAATGGTCCAAAAAAAAAGAAAATATCCAGTGAGCGGCAGTTGTGTGGACGAAAATGCCTTGGTGATGTCAGAGATCAGAGGAGAATGGGCAGACTTGATGCTGGGACATTCAGATAATAGGGTCAAGATTTGGTATAAACAACATGAAAGAATGAATACATCCTGCCTTGCATCAATGGTTCAGGCTGGTAGTGTAATGGTGTGGAGGATATTTTCTTGACACCACCTAATAAGTAGCCGTGAGTGTATGTGGTATCACTACAATCGTCAGCAGCCGGATAATTTATTTTTGGTTGTTCTTTGGTGGTAAATTATGTGGTAATAGCAAGAAATATACTGCTAAATTTAAAAAAATTATTTTATTTTTTACTTTTTTGGACCAGTTTTTCTTTAATGATAAAAAAAAAAAAAAAAATCAGGAGATATCCGTTACCATTTACCACCAAAAGAAGACCTGAAAAAAACAAGGTATTATCCACCGGGATAAAACAAAGTAGCTGTGATATGTACAGTTTTACTAACACATGTCAAAGTTTCAAAATTGTGCTAAGGCATTCATTTTTGCTTTACTCTCAGTGACTAAGTGGTCACCGGAGTGGACATCAAAGACTGAATTGGCTGCTCAGCAGGCGCTTGTACTGAGCACCCAAGTGCTTCCGTGTGCGAGGGTAACCTGAAGGAATAATTTTTTTTTTCTCATTGGGGCCTCATTTACGCACACAGCAGATGCGCTTCTGCTGAGCGTCAATACAGCCCAACACTCCCCTTTCTTGAGGAGCACCCAATCGGTGCTCGTCACACTGCAAGGTCTCTCCCCTCCTTGCCATGCCCTGGGTGCAGTGCTGGAGACTGGCAGGGAGGTGAGTAGGAGATAAACAGTGCAATGTTTAAAACCTTAATTAAATACGGTTTTCTATAAAATTATTTTAATTTTTCTCCAAAACAAGTAGATTGTCATGAGGGACAAATAGATTGGGCCCCAGATTTAGTCTTTTGGACAAGTAGTTTTTTTTTTTAAAATGTCCACACCCCTGATAGAGATAAGGGACATTCTTAAAACTGGGCAAATTACATTCTCTAGAGTGTCACAACACAAAACAATAGGTCCGAGGGCATCAGCTGTGTTGATCATCTTAAAGAAAGATTCCTGGTCTCTATTTGGTCCCGTCCAGTTCATTTGTCTGGCAGACATGCTGCTGGCTGCAAGGATGGGTCTGCAAGAGCAAATAAGGTCTTTAGGAGCACTTCAAAACATCTATCAACAATATCCCGAAAAGCCTCCCTTCCCCATCAAAATTACCCCAGAGTATTTCCTCCATTACAATTACATATCCCCCATCATAATGTGGGGGGGGGAGAGAGTGACAGGAAAGGGGTGGCAGTGTGAGGGGCGGTGCGCAGAGTGACAGATTGTGGGGGGGCAACGTGACAGGAGGGGGCAGAGTGACAGGTGGGGAGCAGTTTGACAGGTGGGGGGCAGAGTGAGAGGAGGCAGCCAGAGAGACGACGGGGGGGGGGGGGGGGTTGTGTGACCGGAGGGGGAAGCACTGAGACAAGAAGGGGGACAGGAGTATTGCTGCACTTTTTTTTTTTTTTTTTTTTTAAAAGCGCTGGAAATGAATTTAGCCTTATACCAGAAAATTCATTTGAGTCATTCAAAAGTATTATTAATAAATGAGGACACTGTAGGGTTGACGTACTAAAGCACCTTGTTGGCAAATGGTCGCAGTTCCTTGCATGACCGACTACTTTTAGACAGAGAAGTGATTCACTAAAGCACTCAGTCAACAAATGCACACAATTCGGAATTCACTAATGGTCACATAACTTAGCGACCATCTGAATGAGTTCACTTGTTAGAACCAGGTAACAGCAGAGAAAAATCTTTTTAACCACTTGCTCTCCAGACCAGGTCATTTTTTAGGACATTTTTTAGGTCATCAGTTAATCGTTAGGGAGGTGGTCTGGTGCTAAAATTATTGCTCTCATGCTGGCGAGCACCGAATGTAACGCAATTGAGGTTTTCATGCATAAGCGCCCCCGATGTATTTTTTATTTTTTTGCGCTATAAACAAAAAAGACTGACAATTCCTAAAACTAAACAAAAAAAAAAAAAAAACCAAACACAAAACAAAATATTTTTTACTTTTTGCTATAAAACAAAATTTCTTCATAATTTTAGGCCAAAAAGTATTCTGCTACTACTGTCTTTGCTAAAAGCAATCCTAATATGTGTAAATTAATTTACATGAAAGTTATATGGTGGTATATATACTGGCATTTTTATTATTTTTTTTATACTAGTAATGGCAGCAATCAGTGACTTATAGCGGGACTGCGGCAGGCATTCTGCCACTGTGCGGGAACTAACTGCCACTGGCATCCCTAGTGACACCAATACAGTGATCAGTGCTAATAAAAAGCACAGAGATATACACAGCAGCATGTTATTGCTGGCAGGAGACCTGTGTTGTTTACACACAGGTCTCTTCTCTGTCATTGTTTCTTGGTGATCGCCGGCAAAGAATCTCCAGCCGGGACCCAGTGATCGATATCTGTAGCCACCAATGGCGGCGCAGGTAGGGTGGTGCTCCATACCCGGAAATACATAATCGTATATATATGTATGTGTGTGTGATTTTGCGCAGCCCTGTAGCAGGGAAGCGGTTAATCAGATATCCATAGTCTAAAAGACCCTGGATGTCTCCTCTGTACTCCCCTTAATGTAATTCATACAGATCACACTACAGTACAATCTTTACCGGCCATGCTGGCCAGGAGAACTGTCAGCGGGGACCGGAAGTAATGTCATACGTCACTTTCAAGTCAGGAACAATAGGGGGGGGAGGTGAACAGACGTGTGTCCGCTCTCCTCCCTCCCCTCTACCCAGCAGCACCCCCCTATGCTGGTCCCAGGCCCACACATGGGAAAGTAGAGCCCGGAATACATAGGATCAACAGTCAGCAGCTACAGTATTTGTAAGTGTTCGCATTTATATTTTGAAAAAATTAGACTAGAGCACTTTGTTTTTTTTGCCTATTGCTGCCTTTTTTTTTTAAACCAGGGTGCACGGGCACCCTGGCAAAATGCCTAAACATTGCCCAGAAATTGTATACAAGCCAGGTGTGGAGAAAAAAACACTACATCTAACAATGGGTGTCTTATGTGTGTGGATGCTGCATTATGTAAAACTATTAGTTTAGTTTTTTACATTTTTATAATGGGGTGCCTTAGGATTGTGCATAATTGTAAAGGGTGCCGTGACTGAAAAAAGGTTAAGAAACACTGGTCTACTGTGATGTAGATCATATTTTATGGCAAATTACTGCAGAGAACCAGTATATACACCAATCTGAACAAGTAGCTTTCTACTTTAATGGACTGTAATCACTGATTTATAAACCAATCATGTACAGATGGTTAACATGGAACAGAATTAAGAGAAATGCTGAACAGGTTTTACTATGGATACAAATGAAGCAGCAGATGCATAGAATGACCTTATCCAGGAAGTTGCAGTGGATGTGGTTAGTGAAATTCTGCAAAAGGCTTTTAGCTGTGAACCATAAGAGTAGATAAAGGAAACAGGAATAGAGAGGTGTAACCAGCAACACATTCTTCAGGTGACCAATTGTTGCATGTAGAAACATCACACTGTAATGCAAGCATTACTATACACAAAATGAAAACAGAATGGTTTAGATGATAAAGCAGACACGGCAGTCACTTTTCACAATCAATTATTTGATTGCTGCTCCTTCTCACCTTTAGTATGTCCCCTCGTTTGAAGCTTAGCTCATCATCAGCTGTGGCTTTAAAGTCATATTTAGCTATGGCTTCCATGGTTACCGCAGCGTCGCTGACCTGCGGGGGGGCCTTCAAAACAGAAAGGCTGGACCCCTCCGCTGCCCAACCCTCCTCAATGTCACGAAGCACAGTTAACCAATGTCTTGACTGCCGCAACACACTTGGCTGGTTGATGCTCCAAAGGTAGGAAGACGGCGGAATCACTTGCGGCCTTTAGGAAAGAAAGAAAGAATGCCTTAATTACAAACACAACAGCTTAGAAGAGAACTGAAACTAAAGCATGTTCAGTAGATGTCAACAGCTCGTCTACACAATCTCAGGCTGCAGCAGAGACACAGACAAGGAGGGAGGGACAGTAAATAGGAGGATCAATCAGGATTTTCGCAGTCTATAGAAAACAAAAAGCTGCTTTTTCAGGCATTTGAGCTTTTATTTCTCTGCCTCTAAAAGAGTTAGATCACTATAAAACGGAACAACAGGCTGTTCTAGGTATGTTAGGGCACCTTTAGGCTAGGTTCATACCTATGCAGGTTGCAGTTGGTGTGTTATTCCGGTGGATTTCGTGGTGCGGTTTGCTTTTTTTTCCACACAAATGTTTGAAGTGTTTTTAATTCGCTTTTCATGCACTTTTGGGATGTGGTAATGTTGCTAGGGGGAGGTATTTGTTTTCATGAAGGAAACGCATGTACATGTGTTTTTTATGTTGTTTTTTTTTTTTTGCAGTTCCATTGAAGTCTATGGAACCAAAAACGCAATCTTCTGCAAGTAAAACAATCCCTGACAGTTTAAAAAAAAACTGCACCAGTAGCAAACACAGATGTGAACATGACCCACAGGAAATCATGTTTAATGGACTTCATGTACATGTATTTTTTATGTTTTTTTTTTTTTTTTTTTTTGCAGTTCCATTGAAGTCTATGGAACCAAAAACGCAATCTTCTGCAAGTAAAACAATCCCTGACAGTTTAAAAAAAACTGCACCAGTAGCAAACACAGATGTGAACATGACCCATAGGAAATCATGTTTAATGGACTTCATGTACATGTATTTTTTATGTTTTTTTTTTTTTTTGCAGTTCCATTGAAGTCTATGGAACCAAAAACGCAATCTTCTGCAAGTAAAACAATCCCTGACAGTTTAAAAAAAAACTGCACCAGTAGCAAACACAGATGTGAACGTGACCCATAGGAAATCATGTTTAATGGACTTCAGTGTGTGTTTCTGCAAATCTGAAAAAGCATAAGTGTGAACCTAGCCTTAGGTCAGGTATCTGCACTTTTTACCAAAGGAATGCCTTTATTGTCATAGTCTCAACCTGATCTGGCAATTAGTGTACTATCAGGGTGTCTCCTAGCTAAGGATGAAAACATAACTAAAAAAATAGGTCTCTGGAAGAGCAGCTTAAGTACTTCCTCATCCTTTCTTGGAAAACTAAGAAAGGCTGAAGTTCTTCTTACTCTCTTTATTCACTGGGCAAGGTTCCTGCAACATAATGGTTAATACAATGTATATATATATATATATATATATATATATATATATATATATATATATAAGATACTAAAGCAAATGTTTAATGTGCTGATATTTTTACCTCCCTCTCCCTCAGCCAGTGGGTGGATCAAGCCACAAAGCCATGGGTTTTCATTGTGTACCATTATAACCTTCCAGCCGCCATTGGCATCCTCACAACCAATAATGTAATGCATTGGCTGATGAGATTGACATCCAGTGCCTGCACAGCATCCTTGTTTGCCTATCACCATCACCACTGGGATCTGGAATAAGGGACAGAACCCAAGGGAGAAGAGAACCACTGGAATATTAGTCAGTACCTAGGTACAAAGGTGTGATTGCTTTGGAGGAATAAAATCACCTCTAATGTTGAGTGTCCTACATATGTAGATGCTCTGATTTGGGGAACAGATGCAGTATTGGACCGATGCTGCATCCATCTAGGCAAGTATGATTGTTTACTTTTTCCAATTTCCAAACTTTTTTAACCACTTCAAGTCCAGACACTTTTACCCCCTTCCAATCCAGGCCAATTTTCAGCTTTCAGTGCTATCATACTTTGAATGACAATTGCACGGTCATGCAACACTGTACCCATATTAATTGTTTAGCATTTTTTTTAGACAGATAAAACTTTATTTTGGTGATATGTATTCACCACTGGGACTTTTATTTTTTTGCTATACAAATTAAAAAGTCCAAAAATTGTGAAAAAAAGTGTTTTTTCTTATAAAATTTAGCAAATAATCTTTCTTCATAAATCTTGGCCAAAATGTATTCATCTATCTTTTTAGTAAAAAAAATAAAATAACCCAAATTAGTTTATAACCAAAAATTATAATTTTTAAAAACTTTTTTTTTTTACATTTTTATTTTTTTTTATATTATTTGTTTATTTTTACATACTGTCACCCTAACAGTACAGTGTCACCAAAGTGACACTGTACTACTTGCGGGGGGTGATGAAGATTTTTTCTTTTTTTACACTGGTTGCTTTTACACACATAAAACCTGTAAAAGCAATCCTAGATTGTAAGCTCGAAAGAGCAGGGCCCTCGAACCCCTCGTGTATTGTTTTGTTACTGTATTGTCTCATGTTCTGTCCCCCACTATAATGTACAGCGCTGAGCAAACCTTTTGGCGCTATATAAATACTGTATATTTATAATAATAATTTCTCCTGCTCTCTGGCTGCATTCTTGCAGCCATTGAGAAATACTGTGAGAGCTGTGATTGGTCACAGCTTGTCACATGGTACAAGGCTGTTGTGAATAGCCTTGTACCATGTGACCTCTGTGATCATTCACAGATTTCACAAGTAGTAAGCAATGATGTCAGGAAGTGACATCTTGTTTACTACTATTCATGTGATCACTAACTGGCCAATCAGTGATCACATGATCAGGACCTCACACAGAGGTCCCATACACTGATCGGTCACCGATCGCAGTGCCGCTCGCTCCCAGGGAGCGCACACAGACAATGGATGTGGGGGGGGACGTTTAGAAACATCCACCCCAGTCCGGCAGCGCTCCCATCCGGCCGTTTATGTACATGGGCCAGAAGGGAAGTGGTTAACCACTTGTCTACGTACTGGTTTTGCTCACAGAAAAAAGTAAATTTTAGGCCTAAAGATTAATTAAAACCCCCAAACGTGATATTTTTTAAAAGCAAATACCCTTTAGTATAAAATGGTGGTAGTTGCATTTTTTTTTATATCACAAGAATAAATCACTCAGATTTAGTTAAGATATAAAAAAAAATGAGGTTGAGATGAGTAAACAGAAATCCAAGGTGTCAAGTCCCAAAACTGCACAAATGCCTGTGAGACAAACTATGGCACCCAAAATAGTCCATAAGCAATTCTTTTAAGGCTCCATGCACATAATAACACTGGTAACCATAGCTGTGTAAAGTCACGTTAAAAACGTGAGCTTTTCAGCGGTTTGCCGTGTTTTTGCATTAGTGTTTAGCCGCTTGTTTTGAGTTTGCGATTTTTAGCGGGGTTTTTTTTTGGTCAAAAAGTCCAAAAACACCAGTTTGCCGCGATTTAAACGTGTTTTTCAGCATTACAGCTAAAAAAAAACTCCTCTAGAAACCCACTTGTCCTGGGGGTTTTTTTCCAGCCAATAAACGCCCCTGTCAAAAAATGTTGATTACAGTCTGTGTGCATGGACACATAGGATAACATGCTGGTGGGTTTACTGGCTGTAGAAAAAAATGTCAAAAGCCAAAAACAGGCGCTGTAAAAACATCCAGTGTGCATGAGGACTAAAAGTCTTATCAGGTTTTCCATTTAAAGTTAACTGTGAATAGCTGATACAGAATTATTGCTCTCACTCCAATGTTCATAGTGATGTGCAATTACCATTTTTATACATAGGTGTACCTGCTACATGCATTTATGTTCTTATGTGCATATATTTGGGGTACTCTTTTTTTAATTGCTATATTTTTTTTTCTTCAAGCTATTGTCATCACACAGGGGGGCAACAGTTGGCCTTTAATGGGCAAACAGAAAAATGCTAAAAAAAAAAATAAATAAAATGCAATGGTTTCTGCACAGCATAATTGGATCAGTGAGCGTTTGTTTGACTTCCATTACAACAGAACTGGGTTTGCAGCGAATTAGCTGCATGTATATATCACACTACATGATGGAAAGAAAGACTTGCAGTTCAAGATAACACTACTGCTGAAAAGGAGAGAAGTTATCAGGCTTGCTCAGACTCCGTGGTAAAAAAAAAAAAAAAAAAAAAAAAAAGTAATGCACAGAACAGGGCCAATTGTACACAGAAATTACGAAATAACATGAAGGTTTTAAGCATTTAGGATGAAAAAATATATATAAAGCACTATAAAAAACTCTTCTAAAATACTGCAAATGGAACAGCATACCTTGGCCCTATAAGACCTATCAGAAAAGTACTCTCAAATCTGAACACCGTGTTATGTCTAAAATGAACTCATGTCTGAAAACTAACAGGCGAATCACAAAACTGCGGTTTATAATCTGCTCCGGCCTACGAGGTCAGTGGATAGCTCAGCACTGGCTGTTAGTGGAAGGAGGAATGCGCCAGCATTGGCTTTCAGTGGATAGGGGAATGAGCCAACATTGGCTGCCAGTGGACGGAGGAATGCTCCAGCACTGGCTGCCAGTGGACGGAGGAATGCACCAGCACTGGCTATCAGTGGACGGAGGAATGCGCCAGCACTGGCTGTCAGTGGATAGGGAAATGAGCCAACATTGGCTGTCAGTGGACGGAGGAATGAGCCAACATTGGCTGTCAGTGGACGGAGGAATGAGCCAACATTGGCTGTCAGTGGACGGAAGAATGCGCCAGCACTGGCTGTCAGTGGACGGGGGAATGAGCCAACATTGGCTGTCAGTGGACGGAGGAATGCACCAGCACTGGCTGTCAGTGGACGGAGGAATGCACCAGCACTGGCTGTCAGTGGACGGAGGAATGCACCAGCACTGGCTGTCAGTGGACGGAGGAATGCACCAGCACTGGCTGTC